CATTGTTTTAATGCATTTGCAAGCTCTGGCAACTTTGGGGCGTGGGTCGAAAGTTTCGATGGGGGTTTTCCCCCATTTCCATTGTGCAATTGGAAACTTTGTGCAACAATAAAATTGCTGCCAAAAAAATATAAAATAAAAGTAACAGGACACTGCAAAGGCAGCAGGCTAACAATGCAGGCGGCAAAAAAAGAAGGATAATAAAACACAGTGCAAGTCGCCTGGTGTAGCCTACTTATGGATAGGAAAATTGCATGAGGGCGGCAGTGGGTGGAAAAACAGACGCCGCATTTAAACTCTCGACATCCGCGGCGACTTCCGGGCGGTAAATTATGCAGACCCCGTGAAATATCACTCATTGTTCTCGCCATATGATTTAATCGCCAAGAGGCCCGAACAGAAAAAAGTCCGCCGCTATGTGAGATACATATCATATTTCGCAAGTGATTAAATTCATGCCAATGCATAAATAAACAGGAGCTTTGAATAATATTTAATTTTGAAACGATTGCGATCATTTAACTTTTTGTAAAAGATTTACCAACCAGCGGTTTATTTATCAGCGTTCTCTATTCGCAGTTGACGAACCAATTGCCAACGCAACTGAAATGCCTTTCCTTTTGGTTTCTCAGCTATGCATTGGACATCGATCAAAATGTACATCTGTGGCAGATCGAGATGGATTCCGTTTGTTGCTCATACGCCTCGTTGCACAAATATGATTTCCCAGCACGAAACAATCCACAACCAACCGAGTCGCAGTCGAGACTAAATTTATCGTCGTGACAGATTAAATCGAATTGGCTGTAGAAATTTGTTATATATTTATCTTTACTTATAAGTATAGTATATAAGTATATATTCTTGATCAGGATCAATAGAAATTATTTTTTTTAATTTTTTTGTAGCTTTTCTAATGTATAATGTTGAAGAATTAAAAAAAATTAAAAATGTCCCAAGTCTGAAGTTCTAAAGTCCATAACTTAAACAATCTTAATCGGATTTTAGAGTGGCATACCTCTAAATGTTTCTGGCGCAATTCTCTAAAAATCTGCATTCAAATTTGGAAATTTATTTTTTTTACAATTTTTTCTAATTTTTTGATGTTATAATGTTGTAAAGTTAAGATGTGTCCCAAGGCTGAAGTTCTAAAGTCCATAACTCAACCAATCTTAATCGGATTTTAAAGTGGCATACCTCTAAATGTTTCTGGCGCAATTCTCTAAAAATCTGCATTCAAATTTGGAAATTTATTTTTTTTACAATTTTTTCTAATTTTTTGATGTTATAATGTTGTAAAGTGAAGATGTGTCCCAAGTCTGAAGTTCTAAAGTCCATAACTCAACCAATCTTAATCGGATTTTAGAGTGGCATACCTCTAAATGTTTCTGGCGCAATTCTCTAAAAATCTGCATTCAAATTTGGAAATTTATTTTTTTACAATTTTTTCTAATTTTTTGATGTTATAATGTTGTAAAGTGAAGATGTGTCCCAAGGCTGAAGTTCTAAAGTCCATAACTCAACCAATCTTAATTGGATTTTAAAGTGGCATACCTCTAAATGTTTCTGGTGCAATTATCTAATAACCTGCATTCAAATTTAAAAATTTATTTTTTTTTCATTTTTTTGTAATTTTTTTGATTATTTTTTTGTTATAATGTTGTAAAGTTAATATGTGTCCCAAGGCTGAAGTTCTAAAGTCCATAACTCAACCAATCTTAATCGGATTTTAAAGTGGCATACCTCTAAATGTTTCTGGCGCAATTCTCTAAAAATCTGCATTCAAATTTGGAAATTTATTTTTTTTACAGTTTTTTCTAATTTTTTGATGTTATAATGTTGTAAAGTTAAGATGTGTCCCAAGGCTGAAGTTCAAAAGTCCATAACTCAACCAATCTTAATCGGATTTTAAAGTGGCATACCTCTAAATGTTTCTGGCGCAATTCTCTAAAAATCTGCATTTAAATTTCAAAAAATTTTTTATTTAATTTTTTTGTCATTTTTTTAATGTTATAATGTTGTGAAGTTAAGATGTGTCCCAAGGCTGAAGTTCTAAAGTCCATAACTCAACCAATCTTAATCGGATTTCAAAGTGGCATACCTCTAAATGTTTCTGGCGCAATTCTCTAAAAATCTGCATTCAAATTTGGAAATTTATTTTTTTTACAGTTTTTTCTAATTTTTTGATGTTATAATGTTGTAAAGTTAAGATGTGTCCCAAGGCTGAAGTTCTAAAGTCCATAACTCAACCAATCTAAATCGGATTTTAAAGTGGCATACCTCTAAATGTTTCTGGCGCAATTATCTAATAACCTGCATTCAAATTTAAAAATTTATTTTTTTTTTATTTTTTTTGTAATTTTTTTGATGTTATAATGTTGTAAAGTTAAGATGTGTCCCAAGGCTGAAGTTCTAAAGTCCATAACTCAACCAATCTTAATCGGATTTCAAAGTGGCATACCTCTAAATGTTTCTGGCGCAATTCTCTAAAAATCTGCATTCAAATTTGGAAATTTATTTTTTTTACAGTTTTTTCTAATTTTTTGATGTTATAATGTTGTAAAGTTAAGATGTGTCCCAAGGCTGAAGTTCTAAAGTCCATAACTCAACCAATCTTAATCGGATTTTAAAGTGGCATACCTCTAAATGTTTCTGGCGCAATTCTCTAAAAATCTGCATTCAAATTTCAAAAAATTTTTTTATTTAATTTTTTTTGTCATTTTTTTGATGTTATAATGTTGTAAAGTTAAGATGTGTCCCAAGGCTGAAGTTCTAAAGTCCATAACTCAACCAATCTTAATCGGATTTTAAAGTGGCATACCTCTAAATGTTTCTGGCGCAATTCTCTAAAAATCTGCATTCAAATTTGGAAATTTATTTTTTTTACAGTTTTTTCTAATTTTTTGATGTTATAATGTTGTAAAGTTAAGATGTGTCCCAAGGCTGAAGTTCTAAAGTCCATAACTCAACCAATCTAAATCGGATTTTAAAGTGGCATACCTCTAAATGTTTCTGGCGCAATTCTCTAAAAATCTGCATTCAAATTTGGAAATTTATTTTTTTTACAGTTTTTTCTAATTTTTTGATGTTATAATGTTGTAAAGTTAAGATGTGTCCCAAGGCTGAAGTTCTAAAGTCCATAACTCAACCAATCTAAATCGGATTTTAAAGTGGCATACCTCTAAATGTTTCTGGCGCAATTCTCTAAAAATCTGCATTCAAATTTGGAAATTTATTTTTTTTACAATTTTTTCTAATTTTTTGATGTTATAATGTTGTAAAGTGAAGATGTGTCCCAAGGCTGAAGTTCTAAAGTCCATAACTCAACCAATCTTAATTGGATTTTAAAGTGGCATACCTCTAAATGTTTCTGGTGCAATTATCTAATAACCTGCATTCAAATTTAAAAATTTATTTTTTTTACAGTTTTTTCTAATTTTTTGATGGTATAATGTTGTAAAGTTAAGATGTGTCCCAAGGCTGAAGTTCTAAAGTCCATAACTCAACCAATCTTAATCGGATTTTAAAGTGGCATACCTCTAAATGTTTCTGGCGCAATTATCTAATAACCTGCATTCAAATTTAAAAATTTATTTTTTTTTATTTTTTTTGTAATTTTTTTGATGTTTTTTTGATGTAAAGTTAAGATGTGTCCCAAGGCTGAAGTTCTAAAGTCCATAACTCAACCAATCTTAATCGGATTTTAAAGTGGCATACCTCTAAATGTTTCTGGCGCAATTCTCTAAAAATTTGCATTCAAATATGGAAATTTATTTTTTTTACAGTTTTTTCTAATTTTTTGATGTTATAATGTTGTAAAGTTAAGATGTGTCCCAAGGCTGAAGTTCTAAAGTCCATAACTCAACCAATCTTAATCGGATTTTAAAGCGGCATACCTCTAAATGTTTCTGGCGCAATTCTCTAAAAATCTGCATTCAAATTTGGAAATTTATTTTTTTTACAGTTTTTTCGAATTTTTTGATGTTATAATGTTGTAAAGTTAAGATGTGTCCCAAGGCTGAAGTTCTAAAGTCCATAACTCAACCAATCTTAATCGGATTTTAAAGTGGCATACCTCTAAATGTGTCTGGAGCAATTATCTAAAAACCTGCATTCAAATTTAATAATTTATTTTCTTTTAATTTTTTTTTAAATTTTTTTGTAATAGTTTCTAACACATAGAAAACTTCGTAAGACTAAATTAAAAAAGCACAATATAATTTGATGTAAAGATATTTTAATGGAGTTTATCGTGTGGTTGAAGTTAAAACTGGCACCGGAATTGAAATGTTTGTGTATGAAATTAACACCACCACACTACGCACATACACATAGACACACGCACACACATGTGCATACTGACTCAGACAAGCACAGTCGTATGTATACGCCGAAATGCAAATGCAAATTGCATTTGTTTGCGTTGTGTCATTTGTCGCTTGGGTGAAGCCGAAATGATATGGCCAAGGAGGGGAGGTGGGAAAGTCGAGGGAAAGCAGGGGCTGGCTACAACTCTCAGCTGGCAAATGTGACAACTTGTTACAAAATTCATCAACTTATGAAATATAAATCACACACCACACTGGAGGAGTCAGCAGAGATAAAACGAGGCAGGGCGCCAGTACGTCTAGAATATTCTACAGACGTCATTAGTCTTGCAGTTCCAAATGGCTTTGCAGGCTTAAAAACCATTTGAAACCAATTTCCAGAGCTACCTTAGCAGGCCTTTCGAAGGTACCATGGGTTATTCTCACTTAATGCGGGTACATTTATCTTAATGAGGCCTAAGTAAGTGAAACGGCGTTCTCTTTGATGACCAGCTAGCTCAGTATCAATCTAGTAATAGCAGAAAGCAGACCTTTTTTTTTTAAGAAGTTGACATAATATTTACTTTTTATGCAACATTTACTCAATTCATCCCATTGTACTTCCTACTAGAACGCTTTTAAATTCAACCTCAGCAGGCCGATTTTTCGAAATGCCAAGACCTGAAACATCTGGCCGGTAGCTCAACTCATTCCTACGCCATCATCCCAACCGTTAACAACTACTACTATAATAGAAATTAATTTTGCCGTAGCCGTTTTAACTCCAACAGGCAAGTAAAAACGAAAAAACTTGGATTTTTTTTTTACATTCAGAAGCTTGACTTTTGTGATTTAATTGTACCGCCGTTTTTTGTTGAATTTGTCTTGCAGTCAAAAATGGCTGACGAATCACCGGCGGGATCAGGTGCACCAGTACAAATTGTTGAAGTTGCACCCACCACCATAGCTTCCGCTGATTCAACCACATCTGGTGCCCGTATGATGATGAACCACCCATGGCTGGCGGCCGCCGCAGTGGCCGTGTATGCCACCAAGGTCATGTGGGTCAAGTTGCGCGAGATTGGCCTGGCAAAGCGACTCAAAAAACAACAGGCAAAGCAGTCTAAATCCTTGCAGGATGTTGATGAAGACACCGAATCTGAATCCGATGAAGAGGACGACGACGACGACGTGCCCCAAGTGGCAGGTGCAGCTGAGGGACCAGGAAACTGGCTGAAAATGGACAGTCCGAGGCTAAGCCATCGCTCGATCGAAGTTGCCCCCGCCGATTGCTAGTTTTCGATTCGGTGATGAAGGACCATGAAAGGACACTGCACACACACACACAACTACACTGGACAACTACACTAATTGTTGTAATGCTTGCGTTTTCAGTAGGGGAGGATCGTCAATCGTCCACTTGGGGGACACAAATTGTTAGTTTCAAAACATAAACCAAAATCCTTGTAAGCCATTGCGATATTGAATTAGTTTTTATGAGTTTACATTAAAGCCTGCGATGAATGTATGGTAACCTAACATTAACAAAAATCTATTTGTGTTGCGGTGGGCGGAAAAGTGGGAGAAATAAGTACTCGTCTATTCAGACGCGAGCATTTAAATTTATGTTTTTCCATTTCGGCATATTGCCAAAGGTGCTGCTGTCGTATCGGCGTGTCTTTCATTTTTTCTGAGATATCATGATTGAATTTGATGATTGTAAAGAACAAATTTGAGTTTACGGCATCCACACACCATACACCTAACTGTCAACAACTGCTTTTAAAATTATTATTATTATTCCTTTGCCAGGCTAGAAGTTCAATATGAGTGGCTCAGAATCCGCTGGAGGAGAGGGCACGTCGGCGGAAGGTGAGGGGGTGGCTGCCGCCCCAGTTCCCGATACCACGCCTCATGGCGTGGACGCCACAACTTCCGGTGCCCGGATGATGATGCAACACCCATGGTTGGCGGCAGCCGCAGTCGCCGTCTACGCCACCAAAGTCATGTGGGTCAAGTTTCGTGCGCTCGGCTTGGCCAATCAGTTGGGGCGACTCCAGAAGCAAAGAGTTAGGAAGTCCGATCCCTGGCAGGACAACGCGGAAAACGATTCTGGTTCCGAGGCAGAGACGGATTCCGATTGCGAGGAAGGCGATTCAGATGAGGTTACAGATAATGTGGAACTGGGCTTGAAACTATCAGTGAATCGGGATAATGATCGACTAGTCAATGTGCCGCCCGCCAACTTATCAAATGGAATATGCTGATAGAGTTAGTGTATCACCAAATTGCATTATCAGTTATAAAACGTTTTCTGCAGTCACAAGTGCTTAGCTGGTTTAAAGACAAATCGATGGATTGCTGATTTCATTGCATTGCTGATTGCAGTTAGAAACGAGTTTATCTACTGTCATATTTGAGATTGCAAATTAAGTGCCCAGCTGAATGGGCAAAAGGCCTTTAATGTAAACAATCAAAGTTGTGAGTTATTTTTATACTTTGCATTTATATTGATTTGTAACAATTTTGACACCTTGCTGTTGGTTCAGCCTGCCGGCGCTCCCGGTTTAAGTTTTTGTTCCTGTTTCCGTCTCGATCGATCAATCAAAAGCCCGAGCGGCGCGTCATTATGTCACAGTGGTGAAAATGGGGAAAAATGGAAAATGTATACATAGGCAGTGGCAAACGGGAAATTCATGGCGCAGCCAGCGGCAGCGGTCACGGAAACTGGGGCACATGCAACTGCAACCGAGCCGTGTCTGTGTGCTCAGCATGTTTGCACGCGCCATCATCATCCTGTCGCCAAAAGCCACGCCCAGAAGTTCCCGCTCCGCTCCGCCCCACTGCCAGCCGCCCCTTCCGCCCCTTGCCCATCGACGATCGGGTGTTTGGGGACGGGAAGAGGCTAATGAATGCCGCTGTCAATTAGCAATGGGCGTTGGTAAATCAATTCAATGACGCTGTGGCGCTGCTCAAATGACATTCGTCCGTACCATTGGTGAAAATGCCATTAAATTCAAGCTAACAAGGACTGAGTTCTTAGCTGATTTTAGGAAAAATGTATGCTACACGAACCATTTTATGAATATTATATAAGGCTGTAAAGTAGTCAGCTACTTAAAGACCATTTTAAAAGCACTTAAATATTTTACTACTCCTTTAAATCGACGGCAAGCAATTAATATTGGATAACCACCCAGTCAGCGGAAACAATTACCTCCTTTAGACCCAGTTTGATTGCATGTTGATGGATTGCCTAGCTCAATCACTTCTTCAGATTTCGCGTTATTTAATTATCAATAAAATGTGCCAACTGTGCTGCCTCCGTGAGTCTTTTAATTGTTCGCCGATGTTGCTGAAGTTTGAATGCAACTCCGGATTGATTTCGTAATGTGCCACAGAAACGTGGTCTAAATAAAGTAAAATGCAGCGCCGCCAAGCAGCCAACAACTTTCGTTACATATTACACTTTTTGTTGTTCGGCTTTTCTTGCTGTTTTTTATTTGCTTTTCTTTTACGCGAACCTACACACACACGCACACTTCTTTTTTGCTACTCGATTTCCTTGACGGCTTTTCCTCAAATGATTTAAGCTTCGCTATTTTTTCTGACTCGAATTCAATATTTTATCTCTGGTTTCTTTTCACATAATAAACGCGCTTTTGGCATAATTGCCCCGGCGGTTTTTCGATGGGTGGTGGGGGGTGGGGCAGGGAAAATCGTGTGGAGCGGGTCGATAATTATGATGTTGCATTGTTGTTGTGGTTATCGTCATCGCCTGCCACGATAATATGCCGTTTGCCCGCCAATCTGGAACCCCTGCCCCCATCCCCCATCCCCCATCCCCAACTCACTTTTCCGCGCTTTCGTGTAATATTTGCTCACAATTATTGCGAGACGACGCAGCCACATAGTGGTTAATGCTGCCACCGCTGTTGTTGTTGCTATTGTTGCCGTTGTTGCCTCGGCAGTTGCGGTTGCATGTTGCAATAACCATTTCGCTTTCGCTTTCCAGTAAGGTAAGTCATTCAATACCCCGTGGCCATTGGCGAAGACAGGGATATTGGTTAGCCAACAAGTTACCTCTAAGAATTTTCGTTAACCCAATTGGAAAATCTCTACAAAATCTGGGCTATTAAGCTATAGTTCAAAGCCAAATAATATGTATAGAGATTCTTCTAATTTAAAATATTTTAAATTTTACAAATATTTTATTATTTAATATATATTTTTTAGAAATTGTTAGCACTCATTCAGAAGTTTCTAAACGGGTTTCTCCATTCAATTTCATTTGTCTAAACAATACTTTGAATTAATAAATTTGTTATTTTACCCCGCTAGCCATAAGTTATTTTGTATTTAATTAATTTTTTTAAGCTCCACAATACTGCTAGTGGGCACATACCCTGCTGTGATTCTGGCCCGAATCGCTTTTAATTGTGACTCATTTGGCAGGGGCGCAACATGAAAGTCAATGCGCCAGCGGATGCAACATGCGAGTGGGCTGGCAAACAGCGGAATACAGTTGCAGTCGGGATGGGGATGGGGATGGGGATGGGGATGGGGTATCGGTGGACTGGGAGCGATTAGAGCTGGATCTGAATGGACGGATCCCCAAGTGGCACACGGCCATTCTATGGCTTCATTTCGCAGCGCTGGCATTTTACGAGCATCGATAACTGAGGCCGCGACAATTTCACCTGGTGTTAAAGTTATGTAGTGTGTTTGTAACCAGTTGAGCTAATTCTGCGAGTGCGGAAACTTAAAGTTGCACGTTGTAAATAACCATTACTTGAAGTATGCCTTTTTCTTAATTTAATGTGCATCAACTATTAATTTCTTGCATTTTAACAGCAGAAAAGGCTGTTCTTACTGCTGCGTATTTCGCTTAATTCAAATCCATTACGCAGTAAAGTTTTCCATTCAAAGTTTTAATAACACGGAAATGCAGTGGCAGCCCCAAACCCAAAGCCACTCCCCAAAAAACCACCCACTTCACGCACCAAAAATGAAAAAAAAAAAGAAGACCAAAGACCGAAGGAAAACAAATGAGCAAAGGATTAAAAAAGTTTCCTGCCTTCTGCTTTTGCCGCTTTTATTAATTTTTTTTGCCCCAAACTTGCTGGCTGAATTCAATTTAAATTTAATTACTTCAAATGCCAACTTTTGTCACACATTCGGGGGCAGCAGGGGCTTAATGAGAAGGACAAAGTCAAGTAAGTCGACTTATTTGTCTGGCAGTCATTTAGCCGTTTTCCTGATTTAATTGTAAAGTCTACTCAGCAATTGCCCCGCGGTGCTTGGCTAATCAGATCAACATTATTAGCTGAGGCAACAAAGCAATTGCAATCCTTTTGCCCCTCACCCACCTCCCCGCCTCCCCACCTCACCCGCAACAAACGCTGCCATCTGCCAGCTGGGATCCGTTTTCATTACAATTTGTCGTCTCATTGATGTTTGCTCTGCTCAGAGCTGTTCTTGTCTGATATTCTGATATTAATCCGATTGTCTCTGACATAATCTTCCCAGCTGTCTGTAGTTGTGGGTGTTTGCATGCGAGCATGTTTATGAATTGTTTATAATGCCATTGGAGGATAATGTCTGAGCATAGTAAAAACTTTTGCTATGTTGACTTTGACAAGAAGCTTGTCTATAGTTCTGCCTTGTTAATTGGCAGCGGGATTAGATAGTCGGGCCAACTGTCTTGCTCCTTCTTAACTAAAATATTGTATAAAATATTATCTTAAATGTTAATCGAAATATTACAAGATGCGAATATTAAATGGGCATGTTCACCTAATTAATCTGCGCTCTAAGTGAGTATTAAAATAGGAAATCAGTATACGTCTTTAAATCAGAAACAAGACAAGTTGTGAGTTTCCCATTTAATTATTGAAACTTAAAGCTAGCGAAGTACGTGGTAGCCGAGCCCAGACATTTTCAGAAAGTGACTTTCTGCCGTCGCCGGGAAACGCAGAAGCGGAAGAACCCGAATCAGGAGCAGGAACTTCTGGGCAGGACGAAGGAATCGCCGGGGCGGGCCAAAAGTAACATGTTGGCATCGTCTAGAAACTTACAAACATGACATTAAATGTTGCCCTGCCCGTTCGCAGACACAGAAGCAGGTGAAAGGAGCAGCGACACCAAGGATGCAGGCTGCAAAAGTTTTTGGTGGCACAGCTGAGGAGATTTCCTTGACGTTGCGTATACGCCACCGTGCCATTTAAATGCCTGCAGACGCGGCAAACTTCTGGCACCTATGGGAATTTCATTTGTTGTTCATTTTTAAGCAGTTCGCGATTTGAATTTGGCGTCGTTCTGTTTTTGGCTTTTATTTTACTTCTTTTTACTTGGCCGCTCCTTTGTTTTATATGCTGGCAGCAGCATAAAGGAGCAAAGAATGCCGCAGTAAATTTACACAATGAAATCTTAAGAGGTCCCCGGGGAAAATGGCGGAAGCGGGAAACTTTTGGGACAAAACTTTCACATGGAGAAGGTGGGAAAGCCCGGCAAACACACCTGAAATATATAAGAACTACTTGGATCTGCACTTGAACAATACCAGGCATATGTTATGAGGCAGAAGCCCTCGCCATTTGACCGGAAGTTCGACAAAGTTCAAATTACTCAGCAAAGATGGGGGAAAACCAATGTATGGCCGTTGCTTTCATTCATCCGTTTTTGCAAATAAATGAACCGTATACTAAAACAAACAGATTCAATTGAATCGCTCTCCTGGGCATTACAATTGAATGTGCCAGGGCTTTTCTTCTCCACACCCACCCATGGCGAAAACGAAAATCTAATGAAAATGTTCAATTTGCAGCAAGCAAACAATGCCACGCAGGAAAATCCAAACAACAACAGACAGCAAGAAAATCTGGGAAGGCTGAAAATCTTTTCCACAGAACAACACTCGTTGTTATTTGTTGCACTTGGCTGATTGAAAATACATGGTCTTTTATTTTCCACATTTCCTAGTTAGTTGGTTCAAGGACAAACGGCAGGAAATAATTTTTGTATCAATGCAATTTTCCAGTAAAATGACTGATAAGCGTCATCCCAGAATTGAGCACTCGTGCAGCTTTCCATTTCAATGGCCTAAATCAACTTAAATTGTATAAATTGGCTTTAATTTTAATGAGACCAACTTAACTGGGCAAGTCTTGATATATATTTAACAAAATTAAATATTAAATGTGGCTTATTATTGGCATAAGGTATAACAAGTGAATCACCTCAATTCACTCCAATTCAACTTGATTGCATTTGTGTGGTCTTACAAGATTTATAAATAAGCCTTAAGTTAAGCCAGATTTGCATATAAGTTAAATGAAATTTGCAA